GATGTCACGCATAACTGCGCACTTTGAAAACCTTAATGTGACTATTCCAGGCCAAGCTAAATGTTTGTTGAAGCGTGCATGTATGAATCTCGTGCCAATTTTTAGATATCGTGCTAACAAGAAATGGGGAGATCCGCTAGCGGAGCGGATCACCAATTACAGTTTGGATCAAAAGTATAGTAGCATAAAAATGTCTACTCTGATTGGCTGGATAAAAATATCCATTTCCGCAAAAGCTTAGAAATCGTCTTTCTTGAATTCTTTCTTTCTTGAATTCTTTCTTTCTTGAATTCTTTCTTTCTTGAATTCTTTCTTTCTTGAATTCTTTCTTTCTTGAATTCTTTCTTTCTTGAATTCTTTCTTTCTTGAATTCTTTCTTTCTTGAATTCTTTCTTTCTTGAATTCTTTCTTTCTTGAATTCTTTCTTTCTTGAATTCTTTCTTTCTTGAATTCTTTCTTTCTTGAATTCTTTCTTTCTTGAATTCTTTCTTTCTTGAATTCTTTCTTTCTTGAATTCTTTCTTTCTTGAATTCTTTCTTTCTTGAATTCTTTCTTTCTTGAATTCTTTCTTTCTTGAATTCTTTCTTTCTTGAATTCTTTCTTTCTTGAATTCTTTCTTTCTTGAATTCTTTCTTTCTTGAATTCTTTCTTTCTTGAATTCTTTCTTTCTTGAATTCTTTCTTTCTTGAATTCTTTCTTTCTTGAATTCTTTCTTTCTTGAATTCTTTCTTTCTTGAATTCTTTCTTTCTTGAATTCTTTCTTTCTTGAATTCTTTCTTTCTTGAATTCTTTCTTTCTTGAATTCTTTCTTTCTTGAATTCTTTCTTTCTTGAATTCTTTCTTTCTTGAATTCTTTCTTTCTTGAATTCTTTCTTTCTTGAATTCTTTCTTTCTTGAATTCTTTCTTTCTTGAATTCTTTCTTTCTTGAATTCTTTCTTTCTTGAATTCTTTCTTTCTTGAATTCTTTCTTTCTTTTTTTCTTGAATTTCTTTCTTTCTTTCTTGAAAGTTCTTGAAAATTGATGTTCACACTTGAAAAGTCCTTGAAAACAGATTTTCAAATTTTACATTGTTAGAATCGACTTTGTATTAATGTACAAAATTGATTCTTTTATTACCCTGTCTCTTATACACATCTAGATTTGTATAAGAGACAGGTGTGCTGAGTAGTACATAGTGAACGTAATAGTGCCAAGTGTGCTGAGCAGTACATAGCAAACGTAATAGTGCCAAGTGTGCTGAGCAGTACATAGTGACAGCCACGCAAAAGGCAGTTGAAGGTGGCCTTTTTGCGAGTTCTTGTAGCTTGGAGAACTCTGTACTGCATGTAAAATTCTTTATTTTTTCAGAATAGTGATGATAGGACAGCTTTGGTGAGCACTACAGATGGGGTGGCTTCATTTTCTAAGTCAAGTCTACCCCCAGAATGGTAAGCTTATTAATTACATATTTTCATGTGAAGAGAAGCATGTCAATCCATAGAGAGAGATTTTCATAATGGTCTATAGACCAAGCTGTATAAAATACAAGCTTATTTAATGTTATTCAAATAATTGACTTTATTATCAATTACGTGATTTGATTTTATAATTTTTCTTCCTTTTCGTCTTACTGATGTTTAATTGGTTGTAACTGTAAAGTTAATAATTAATGGAGGAATACAATGTCACTATTTATTTATTTATTTTTTTTATGATAAAAAGCAATGCCAGTATCAGGTACTGTACTTTATTGAAAATATTGCAGTCAAATTATTTTATGACTATTGATTGTTAATATCAACTTGTGATTATTTTCTTATTTTTAGGGTTGACAGTGTTGAGGAAATACAATATGATATATCCAGAATACAACATAAAAGTAAGTAAATTTAACGTCATGCCACCTACCGTAATCTGATAAACACAATTAAAAAAAATTACCTGATTTTTCTATTTCAATCAGTTATAGAAACAAGAAACAATTTTTCTCATAAATATTATATTTTTCGTATTTTGTATTTTGATGTTTTAATTTTTGTTTCCTAATTTGGTTTTTAGGTTTCCTTTTATTTTCTGTAATTAATATTATTCTTTGTTTAAAATTAGTTAAGTTTAATTATTATGTCTGCTACGTCATTGATGAAAACACCACTGAGGTGATCAATTGTTTACCGTGGTTAAATAAAGTTTTTATTATTATTATAGGCCTATACAAATACTCCAATTTATTAAAATATTATCACTTATTGGGCTAATCACCATTCCACAACCAATGGGTCACAACACAATGTTGGGTTCACTGAGGAATGTTGATGAGTAACTTCAGATTGTGAAAAAGAGGGTTTTTTTTGTTTTTTTACCCAGTCAGCATTACCCAGTCAGCAGCATGCTGACTGGGATCTGTTTCTTAGCAGTTTCTTTCTTTCTTTCTTCCTTCCTTCCTTCCTTCCTTCCTGAATTCTTTCTTTCTTTCTTTCTTGAATTCTTTCTTTCTTGAATTCTTTCTTTCTTTCTTTCTTTCTTTCTTTCTTTCTTTCTTGAATTCTTTCTTTCTTTCTTGAATTCAAGAATTCTTGAATTCTTTCTTTCTTGAATTCTTGAATTTTTGAATTCTTTCTTGAATTTTTGAATTCTTTCTTGAATTCTTGAATTCTTGAATTCTTTCTTGAATTCTTTCTTGAATTCTTTCTTGAATTCTTGAATTCTTTCTTGAATTCTTTCTTGAATTCTTGAATTCTTTCTTGAATTCTTTCTTGAATTCTTGAATTCTTTCTTGAATTCTTGAATTCTTTCTTTCTTGAATTCTTGAATTCTTTCTTTCTTGAATTTTTTCTTTCTTGAATTCTTTCTTTCTTGAATTCTTTCTTTCTTGAATTCTTTCTTTCTTGAATTCTTTCTTTCTTGAATTCTTTCTTTCTTGAATTCTTTCTTTCTTGAATTCTTGAATTCTTGAATTCTTGAATTCTTTCTTGAATTTTTTCTTTCTTTCTTGAATTCTTTCTTTCTTTCTTGAATTCTTGAATTCTTGAATTATTGAATTCTTGAATTCTTTCTTTCTTGAATTCTTGAATTCTTTCTTGAATTCTTTCTTGAATTCTTTCTTTCTTCCTTTAATTCTTTCTTGAATTCTTGAATTCTTTCTTGAATTCTTGAATTCTTTCTTGAATTCTTTCTTCCTTGAATTCTTGAATTCTTCAATTCTTTCTTTCTTTCTTTCTTTCTTTCTTTCTTGAATTCTTTCTTTCTTTTTTTCTTGAATTTCTTTCTTTCTTTCTCGAATTTCTTTCTTTCTTTCTTTTTTCTTGAATTTCTTTCTTTCTTTCTTGAAAGTTCTTGAAAATTGATGTTCACACTTGAAAAGTCCTTGAAAACAGATTTTCAAATTTTACATTGTTAGAATCGACTTTGTATTAATGTACAAAATTGATTCTTTTATTACCTCCGCTAGCAAAGTTGGCAGGAGGTTATGTTTTTGCCCCTATTTATTTATTTAGCCTACAGCCCATAGTATTTATCAGAAATTTGTCAAACTTGGCTACAATCTTCCTTTACCTAAGATCTAGTGCTGATTAAATTTTGAAGGGTCAGGGTCAAAGATCAAGGTCATAATCAAGGAAAAACTGGTTTAAAAAAAAATTTATTTGTCTACAGCCCATAGTTTTAATCACAAACTTTGGTCACATTATTCCATGACCAAAGATCTCAAGGTATTTGAATGTTAAAGGGTAAGGGTTGAAGGTCAAGGTCACAATCAACAATAAATGTTTTTTTTTAAACAGTTTTTATCAGAAATTTGTCAAACTTGGCCATAATGTTCCTTTAAAAAAGATCTGGAAGTGACTAAATTTTGGAGGGTCCGGGTCAAAGGTCACTATGATATAAACTACTCAAGTTAAGCATAACTGCCTGCCGTATGAACGTGTGTG